CAGCCCCGCTCTCCCTGGGTAGCGATCATACCAAAGGGGAGAGAATGTGTCACCCCTGGCGATGTCGGGCGCGATCGAGGGAGTGGGAGGGGGCTGGTCATGTCGCCGGCGCTGTCTGGTAGTGCCCGCGACTGGCAGATTTTCCCAGCCGGCGTCTGCGCGAATCGTGACGTGACATCGGGCGGAGGGCAGGAGGGCGGGACAGGTAACAGGCGTGATCGCGAATGAATGCAAAATTGGCTGGGGGGTCGCCGGCTCTTCCTGAGGATCTCAGGATCGAAACCCGAGTAGTTTTGGAATTCTTGGTGTCGTTACTTCACCCTGGTCGTCGCGGCCGGGTCCTCTTTGGACTCGTGGTCACAGCGTCGGGATCCCCTAGTCGTAGGAGGGGTCCGGGGAGTACCAAGAGATCCGATTCTTTTTTTCAATGCGGGGCCCCCAGAAGTTCCGAACCTTTCCCCGGGGCCATCTTTTCATCGGGAGCAGTTTTTGCGCGGCACGGTGGTCCGGCGAGGACACCCAGAGGCAGAAAACGATGAAGCTTTTCGGCACTGTTTTTTCAATACGTTAGAGGTCTGGGTCAGTACTTTTCCTGATATAGCGACAAACTGCAGCGTCGCGAAACATATCACGACCAGATCACCGAACTCCCTCTTTGTGCGGCACTGCTCGAGTCAGATCGACCTGTGCGGGCCCCGGGGGCCCGAAGCCGAGCGGAAACGCCCGAGGTGAGAAACATTGCAACGCCCCGGATCTCAGGGTTCCCTTGCCAGCCTGAACATATCCCGGGTATCCTCATCCCTATGATTGGCACCACCTCCTCTCAATGCCGAGCTTGAGGATCCCCTCGGAGGATTCGTCCCTGAGTGGCATGCCGATTTTTGGGATAGGGATCAGTCCGAGACCAGTTATAGTTCCGCCCCAGGACGGCGCCCACATCCCTAGCGCCTTCCGGGCGGGCGTGCCGCGGCTGCTCTGGGACGCCCCCCGCGGGCCGATCGCGGTGCTCTTGCGGCCCGCCCTCGGCGTCGCGGCGCGCGCGCACCGCCTGGCGCGCCGCCTGGCCGAGCGGGGCCGCAGCCGGCGTGTGGCGGTGGGCCCGGGGCGCGACTTCGGTGGCCTGCACCAGTCGGGGGCGGAAAAGAGGGGGGTGATGACTAGGGGGGGGTGGATATCATGGCGCGGGCCATGATATCTCCCCAGATTTCGTGGCGCCTCTTCCTGTTTTATTACGTCCCTGGCCCCCAACCTGGGCCGCGCACATGCCGCCGGTCATGATTTGCACCCCGCCCTCTTGGACACCCCCCTCTTGGCCGCCCCCGAACCAGGCGGAGGAGGGCCCGTCGAGGCGGCGGCGGCGGCGGCCCGTGTTGGGGCCTTGCTGGGCCTCCCGAGGTCGTCTCGCCAGCGCGGCTGAAGCCGCTTCGACACGCGGGCACCACCGGGGCCCAGGAGTGCACCACTGCCACCGCCTCCCTCGTCCCCTCCCTCGCCCAGGACTCACCACCCACCAAAGCACCCCAACCCAACCCGAAGGCCCCGATTTGCCCTCCATTTCCAGGGGGGGGGTGTCGGGGAACATCGAAGAAACACACATGAAGCCCGCACCCCCCCCAACCCGAAATTCGGGTCTTTGGGTTGGGTTGGGGTGGTCTGGAAGGTAGTCAAGGACCGAGGGGGGATCGAGGAACGCAGAACTGCATAGACATGAGCTTCTGGAGCTCCACGGTGGACTCTTGGATATCGGCGCTGGGACCCTCCGGCGACGCCTGCAGCTCCGCGCGCCGGGCAGGGCGATGCAAGAACTCCGCGGGGAGCTCCAGAGGTGTCTGCTTCTGCATGCTCTGCTCCTCTGGTGGGCGCCCGTCCAGGGCGCGGAGTGTGAAAAACCCCGGCCGCGTTCCGGGCGGGCGCGGTCCTTCTGGGGCCCGCGCGCGCGGGCGCGGGAGCGCCGGTGCGGAGAAATCGAGAGACTGAGGAGGAGGAGGAGGAGGAGGAGGAGGAGGAGG